ATGGAGGGGTATTATGCTTAGTACACATCGTGTGGGGGATCACGGGGAAAACAGTGTAGCACGGAGAAAGCACATAGTGAATCTTTGGCAGCTGACTACACTGATGGACAGTGACTGCACTGGGGTATGGGTGGGGACTTCATAATATGGGTAAAGGTAGTAACTACATTGTTTTTTCATGTGAAACCTTCATAAGAGTGTATATCAATAATACCTTCATAAAAAATTAAAAAAATAATAATAATTACACACAAAAAATAAAACAATGGTGGTTGGTTTGATTTCTCAATTGGAAATGAAAAGTCAAGACTGGTTCTACATTCTCCATGACTCAGGCTGGCCCCAGGCGAACAACCTCACTCTGTACATCTGGGAGGACACCTGCTAGGGGCTCACTGAGCACGTTACCTGGGTGTGGGGGACAAGGCCACTAGCCAACGGTGAGGTGTCAGTAATCACATACAAACCCACAAAATGAATGGCTGTTATTTGTCAGTTCTGTGCTATAGGGATTTTCAAAGCAGGAAACAAGTTTTGGAGGTGGGGGGCTTCTCCCATTTTCTATAAACTCATGCTACCTGGGGGCTCAGAGAAGCTGGAGGGGAGGATGGACACAGAGGGCAGCAGTTGAGGGCCAAGAGATTTGCATCAGACTAGGAAGAGACCACAGGTCCTTTGGCTTCTCCCGCTCAGGGAGGCCCTATGGGGTGGTGGCTCATGGGGGAACATCGGCCCTGGAGCCACAGCAGAGCAACCTAGCCAACAGGGCCATGCGCCCTAGGATACAGTCACCTGCAGTGTGGGTACAGCCTCCCACCATGTCCTCTGCTCCTGCCTTTCTGTCATATGTCCCCACAGAGAAGCCACAGTGGTCCTATAAAACACATGTCAGATCATTTCACTCCTGTGCTCAAAACTCTCCTGGTTTCTCCACCTGGGGTAAGAGGTGGGTGCAGGCAGAGGCCTGGACTCCTTTCTTCTACTGAGCCCCTGGTTCACTCCTCCCAGCTCCGGACACACATAAGGCATGTCCTTGAATCACAAAAGTGACATTTGCTGTTCCCTGCTTGATGTCCCCCTAGACACTGCCTTCAGATGTGCTCACACTGCACCAAGGCCCTCCAGAGCCGCCCCTGGGAAACTGCACCGTGCCGGTCCATGCGGGCTCTGCCCTGTCCTTGCCTCTCTTTCCTTTGTGGCGTGCACCCTACCTGACACACGTGAATGTATTTTATTTTTTTATTCCCTCTCTCACCTTCCTCNAAAGTGACATTTGCTGTTCCCTGCTTGATGTCCCCCTAGACACTGCCTTCAGATCTGCTCACACTGCACCAAGGCCCTCCAGAGCCGCCCCTGGGAAACTGCACCGTGCCGGTCCATGCGGGCTCTGCCCTGTCCTTGCCTCTCTTTCCTTTGTGGCGTGCACCCTACCTGACACACGTGAATGTATTTTATTTTTTTATTCCCTCTCTCACCTTCCTCTAGAGTAGCACTATGCAACAGAAATATAATAAGAGACGTACACATAATTTTATATTTTCTCTAGCAGCCACCCTAAAAAAGTAAAAAGAGACAGGAAAAATTAATTTAAGTTTTTTTCTGAAACTCTCATCTCCAAAACATTGGCATTTCAAAGTGAGCCGACAATGACTCAAGATACTTGTCAGTATGTCATTAGCAAGACGCATTCCGCTTTGCGTACAGGGTATCTCAGCTCACACCACCACCCTTCCAAGTGCTCAGGAGTCACATGTGCTTGGCGGTTACAGCATCGGTCAGCTCAGCCCTGCGACATAAACTCTGTGCAGCAAGAACGTGTTTTGCTCATTATTACCCAATAGCTGGAACAGCGCCTGGCACGTGGTATGCAGATCAATTCACTATTAATTAACAGATTTCCTGCCTTCCATCTAACTGGCACATAACGAATACATACAATATGGGAGGGATAAAAAGAAAGACACCCAGTGGGAACAAAAGTCTGAGGTACCCCGAGGGGAAAGGAAGACCATCCCTCCCAGTTTTAAGCAGGTGGGGAAGCACACGATCAGAGCTGAGCCAGCCCACCCCTGGTGGCAGGGTCTTCAGAGAAGGGGAGGCAGAGGGCAGAGGCCAGGGGCCATAGGGAGGGCCACTGCAATGGCTGGGTGACAGCATAGAGGCCGCGTGGGGTCCAGGCTGGGGAGATGGCGAGGAGGCAGCTGTGTGTGGGGACCGAGTCGGAGGATTGTAAAGACAGGTTTTGAGCCCAGTGTCTAGGAAAGAGGATGGCACTGTGACATACTGACGGAGTGCTGAGGGATGACAGAGTTATGGCAATGGGGAACGAACAGCGATTCGCCACCTAGTTCTCAGGTGAGGCCCCAAGCAGGTCCTAACTGTTGTTCCTGTGCTTCTCTCAAATTGAGCTGCTTCTGCCCAATGGAGCAGCAACAGTATTTCCCAGAGGAAATGGCAACTGTGGAGGAATTAGAAGACCCCTCTCCGGGCCTTTTCCTCCTCTGTGAAATGAGGAGGGTGGTGCTTGCCCAGCGATCCCATCCCAGCCCCGAGGCCACCTTCCTGCAGAGGCAGGAGCTTCTTCAGAGGGTTTCCTGCACGGAGCAGAGGAGCGCTGGTTACCCTGCAGGAGCGAGGGGCCTAAAGCACGAGCAAGCTGGGCCAGCCGCTGTCATCAGACTCCACCCTTCCCGCAGCCGCACAGCACCGGTGAGGAGCCAGAGGCGGCACGGGGTGGGGGCCACCTTTCCCAGCTCATGCTGTGGGGCTTCCGCAAGGGCAGGGTGCTCCTGTGACCACGGGTGTGCCCATAACAGAAACACTCTGAACTCAGGGCTGGATGCCGGAGCCCGCCGGGGTTTGCCCAGTGTCCCTGTGACCGCTACCCTGCGGGGCAACCGCGGTGTCTCACCTCAGTCGCTCCTCCTCTTTCCGACGAAGATCGAAGTCTCGCTGGACCACCCGGAGGATATGCTCGGTCTCATCGTTGGTCAGACCAGACAGGTCCAGCTTCCTGCCCATGATTTAAGGCCAAACAGCCGGTGAAGTGAGACCTGAGAAACCAAGGAGAGAGCACAAATTGAGGGCAAGACAAGACAAAGGCCCTACAGGGACAAAAATCAACCACCTTGTCATTACAACATAAGTAAGGGTGGTGTTTGTGAGGTAGAATCCTGCACTACTCTTGTACCCAGCAGACAATTAGGGGACATCAGCAAGGTGCATCATCATCCCACCCAACTCTTCGATCAGAAAACATAAACAAACTACTCTTTTCAACAAAATGGGCATAGGGGACCCAGTGTATATTTATACAAAATGCCAGAAGACTATCCAGAAATTCTAAATTTCTGTGGTTTGAGGTTTTAAATTCTTTGTATGTAATTGCAAAATAAAATAAATTATGATACTTTAAAAATATCCCATATACACTATAGTCCTTGAACTTTTCATCACATTACTGATATATAAATTAGAAATCAATACACTCTTCTGCAAAAGGTAAAATAGCAAAATCTTATTTAGCCATTTTCAGCAGTAGAAAAGATGGTATTTCAAAGAAACCTCCGACAGTGCATACCTAAAAGTTATGGGAAATTATATACTTAAAAGTCATTTTTAATGAATGGCTGCACCCAGGGATGAAATCAATAAATAATACCAGAAAATTGCCCAGAACTGAAGGCCATCAAAAATAGGAATGCAAACATCCTCCATAAAACATTAGTGGAACCAATCAGCAAAATTTCAAACTTTCAGAATTATTACATATCATGACCAAATGGGTTTTATCTGACATTCAAATATCAATCAGTGTAATTCATCATACTAACAGGTGATAACTACATTAATCCTGGTGAACATCTATACTGCATGTAACCTGAAACTCATATAATATTGTATGTCAGCTATACTTCAATAAGTTAAAAAAAAACAAACTGAATGAAAGGGAAAATCATATGATCATTTCAATAGATGCTGAAAAAGCTTCTGACAAAATTCAACTCCCATTCATGATGGAGACTCTCTGCAAAAAAAGATTGGAAGGAAATGTCTTCAATCATAAAAGACTTTCTCTTTAAAACAATTAAAACAATAAAAATCCTATAGTTACCATACTCGATGAGAAAGGCAAAATGCTTTTGCCTAAAATGGGAACAAGGTGGGAATATCTGCTCTCACTACTTCTTCTCCACACTGAATGTCTTCACACTAAACCTACATTAATCAAGACAGAGCAGGGCTGGTGTGTGGGTGGTGTGCTCCTTAGCTGGGCATTATAGCGGGGCACCACAGGCCGGGAGAGTTGACTAAGAGAACTTTATTTTCCCACTGGCTGAGGCTGGAAGTCTGAGATCCAGGTGTGGGTAGGGCTGGCTTCTCCCCAGGGCTCCCTCCTTGGTCTGAGACACCATCTTGATGTGTGTCTTCCAAGGTCTTCCCTCTGCCCATGTGTGTCTAAGTTCCTTGTTCTTGTAAGGACACCAGCCACATGGCATTAAGGTCCATCCTAATACCTCATTTTAACATGATGCCTCTTCAGTGTCCTATCTCCACATACAGTCACAATCTCAGATGCTGAGGTTGAGACTGGGACCATTAGCTCAGACAGAATAGGACAAGGGCCTCTGGAAAAAGCAAGGCAAGATATTTACAGTCAGAGCAATGTAAATACATGCAAGGAAATCCCCTACCAAAACTCTGTGTTAAACATTCAACTCTAGGTCATTCTTCAGTGAGATCAGTTAATACTCCCCAGATAAAGAATGCTGGAACAGCGCCTGGCACGTGGTATGCAGATCAATTCACTATTAATTAACAGATTTCCTGCCTTCCATCTAACTGGCACATAACGAATACATACAATATGGGAGGGATAAAAAGAAAGACACCCACTGGGAACAAAAGTCTGAGGTACCCCGAGGGGAAAGGAAGACCATCCCTCCCAGTTTTAAGCAGGTGGGGAAGCACACGATCAGAGCTGAGCCAGCCCACCCCTGGTGGCAGGGTCTTCAGAGAAGGGGAGGCAGAGGGCAGAGGCCAGGGGCCATAGGGAGGGCCACTGCAATGGCTGGGTGACAGCATAGAGGCCGCGTGGGGTCCAGGCTGGGGAGATGGCGAGGAGGCAGCTGTGTGTGGGGACCGAGTCGGAGGATTGTAAAGACAGGTTTTGAGCCCAGTGTCTAGGAAAGAGGATGGCACTGTGACATACTGACGGAGTGCTGAGGGATGACAGAGTTATGGCCATGGGGAACGAACAGCGATTCGCCACCTAGTTCTCAGGTGAGGCCCCAAGCAGGTCCTAACTGTTGTTCCTGTGCTTCTCTCAAATTGAGCTGCTTCTGCCCAATGGAGCAGCAACAGTATTTCCCAGAGGAAATGGCAACTGTGGAGGAATTAGAAGACCCCTCTCCGGGCCTTTTCCTCCTCTGTGAAATGAGGAGGGTGGTGCTTGCCCAGCGATCCCATCCCAGCCCCGAGGCCACCTTCCTGCAGAGGCAGGAGCTTCTTCAGAGGGTTTCCTGCACGGAGCAGAGGAGCGCTGGTTACCCTGCAGGAGCGAGGGGCCTAAAGCACGAGCAAGCTGGGCCAGCCGCTGTCATCAGACTCCACCCTTCCCGCAGCCGCACAGCACCGGTGAGGAGCCAGAGGCGGCACGGGGTGGGGGCCACCTTTCCCAGCTCATGCTGTGGGGCTTCCGCAAGGGCAGGGTGCTCCTGTGACCACGGGTGTGCCCATAACAGAAACACTCTGAACTCAGGGCTGGATGCCGGAGCCCGCCGGGGTTTGCCCAGTGTCCCTGTGACCGCTACCCTGCGGGGCAACCGCGGTGTCTCACCTCAGTCGCTCCTCCTCTTTCCGACGAAGATCGAAGTCTCGCTGGACCACCCGGAGGATATGCTCGGTCTCATCGTTGGTCAGACCAGACAGGTCCAGCTTCCTGCCCATGATTTAAGGCCAAACAGCCGGTGAAGTGAGACCTGAGAAACCAAGGAGAGAGCACAAATTGAGGGCAAGACAAGACAAAGGCCCTACAGGGACAAAAATCAACCACCTTGTCATTACAACATAAGTAAGGGTGGTGTTTGTGAGGTAGAATCCTGCACTACTCTTGTACCCAGCAGACAATTAGGGGACATCAGCAAGGCGCATCATCATCCCACCCAACTCTTCGATCAGAAAACATAAACAAACTACTCTTTTCAACAAAATGGGCATAGGGGACCCAGTGTATATTTATACAAAATGCCAGAAGACTATCCAGAAATTCTAAATTTCTGTGGTTTGAGGTTTTAAATTCTTTGTATGTAATTGCAAAATAAAATAAATTATGATACTTTAAAAATATCCCATATACACTATAGTCCTTGAACTTTTCATCACATTACTGATATATAAATTAGAAATCAATACACTCTTCTGCAAAAGGTAAAATAGCAAAATCTTATTTAGCCATTTTCAGCAGTAGAAAAGATGGTATTTCAAAGAAACCTCCGACAGTGCATACCTAAAAGTTATGGGAAATTATATACTTAAAAGTCATTTTTAATGAATGGCTGCACCCAGGGATGAAATCAATAAATAATACCAGAAAATTGCCCAGAACTGAAGGCCATCAAAAACAGGAATGCAAACATCCTCCATAAAACATTAGTGGAACCAATCAGCAAAATTTCAAACTTTCAGAATTATTACATATCATGACCAAATGGGTTTTATCTAAGTGACATTCAAATATCAATCAGTGAAATTCATCATATTAACAGGTGATAACTACATTAATCCTGGTGAACATCTATACTGCATGTAACCTGAAACTCATATAATATTGTATGTCAGCTATACTTCAATAAGTTAAAAAAAACAAACAGAATGAAAGGGAAAATCATATGATCATTTCAATAGATGCTGAAAAAGCTTCTGACAAAATTCAACTCCCATTCATGATGGAGACTCTCTGCAAAAAAAGATTGGAAGGAAATGTCTTCAATCATAAAAGACTTTCTCTTTAAAACAATTAAAACAATAAAAATCCTATAGTTACCATACTCGATGAGAAAGGCAAAATGCTTTTGCCTAAAATGGGAACAAGGTGAGAATATCTGCTCTCACTACTTCTCCTCCACACTGAATGTCTTCACACTAAACCTACATTAATCAAGACAGAGCAGGGCTGGTGTGTGGGTGGTGTGCTCCTTAGCTGGGCATTATAGCGGGGCACCACAGGCCGGGAGAGTTGACTAAGAGAACTTTATTTTCCCACTGGCTGAGGCTGGAAGTCTGAGATCCAGGTGTGGGTAGGGCTGGCTTCTCCCCAGGGCTCCCTCCTTGGTCTGAGACACCATCTTGATGTGTGTCTTCCAAGGTCTTCCCTCTGCCCATGTGTGTCTAAGTTCCTTGTTCTTGTAAGGACACCAGCCACATGGCATTAAGGTCCATCCTAATACCTCATTTTAACATGATGCCTCTTCAGTGTCCTATCTCCACATACAGTCACAATCTCAGATGCTGAGGTTGAGACTGGGACCATTAGCTTAGACAGAATAGGACAAGGGCCTCTGGAAAAAGCAAGGCAAGATATTTACAGTCAGAGCAATGTAACTACATGCAAGGAAATCCCCTACCAAAACTCTGTGTTAAACATTCAACTCTAGGTCATTCTTCAGTGAGATCAGTTAATACTCCCCAGATAAAGAACAGTAGCACGTTTTTATTATGTTAATTATTTGTAATCATGTGTAAGATTCACTTTAGCATGCTAAAAGCCCAGGCCTATATGCTGTCTTTCCTTCTTCAGATCTGATGAGGTGATTTGCAAACTGGGCAACTAATTTATCAAGTCAGCCCAGGCATAAACAACATAGTAAAAGGTAGGAAGGATTCCACCTTAAATATAAGATTTCATTTTAACACCCAGGAAGTTTAAGAAGTAAGATTCTTGACAGGATTTAAGATGGCAGCATGAGAGGTGAGACGGAGAGCTCCTCCCAAAACCACAAATAGTATGAAAATGTAGTTAATTGATACAACTAACCCTAAAACAGCAACAAGAAAGAAGGCTGAACCAGATTGCATACAGACCTCACGAACAGAGCAGACCTCACAAACACAGGGTAACATATGAAAGCCTTAATCCAGCAGGACCCAAGCCCTTCCCCCACCTCAGCTCACCGGTGGGAGGAAGAGAAACAGAGCAGGGAGGGGGTGGAGGCCTAGGACTGCTGAACACCCAGCCCTGAAGATCTGCTCTGGGAGCAGAAACCTATATTGTGTGGTGCTCAGGACGTTGGGGAGCTCGACAGGTGGAGTGCTTGAGAGACTGAGATTCTGGCCATTTGTGGAGGAGGGGATCCACTCCCACTGCTCTGTGTCAAGTGGAAAGGCAAGCGGCCTGAGAGGCTTCCTAGCAGCAAGAGGGCTGCTGAAGGAGCAGAGTTTGCATGGAGCTTGGAGGGGAGAGCTGGACAAGGTTGTCTGGGCACGCTCTGACCAGCAGGTTGGGAACTTTGAGGAGCTTCTGGCACCCCATCTCCCTGGTTGCCTACTCAGCTCCGAGGCCCCTCACTGCATGCAGCTTGCTGCACCTTCCTCCTAGCCGGCCGGCACCAGTTCGCAAACCGGCAGTCACCGTGCTGATGTCAGGCCAGCCAGAGGGAGGCCCCACCCACAACAGCTAGAGACACCGAGCACAGAGGTTTACACCTGTGTACTCAGCCCACTGGCTCTGACACTGCAGACAGGCACCGCAGATGGGAATCAGGAAACAGATCTTTCCTCCCCCCAGGCACCGGCTCCACTCCCTTACGACCCCCAGCCTCACTCTAGGGCTGAGCAGCTCCAGAGACTGGACCTTCTGGGCACTAGTGGGCGCCACACAGGAATAGGAAAAGTCAAAATAACATGGCCAAAATCTCACAAACCCCAGAAAAAGGGCCAAATGAAACTAAACTCACCAATCTTCCTGAAAGAGAGTTCAAAATCAAAATTATAAACATGCTTATGGAGGTACAGAAAAATATTCAAGAACTCATAACGAATTTAAGTCAGAGATTCAATCATTAAGAAATTCCATATCTGAAATGAAACATACAATGGAGGGATTTAAAAGCAGATTATATGTAGTCAAAGAGATGGTAAATGGAATAGACATTAGAGAAGAGGAATACAAAGAAGCTGAGGCACAGAGAGAAGAAAGAATCTCTAAGACTGAAAGAATACTGAGAGAACTGTGTGACCAATCCAAATGGAACAATATTCACATTATAGGGGGACCAGAAGAAGAAGAGAGAGAAAAACGGATAGAAAGTGTCTTTGAGGAGGTAATTGCTGAAAAGTTCCCCAATGTGGGGAAGGAGATAGTCTCTCAAACCATGGAGATGCACAGATCTACCAATATAAGAAACCCAAGGAAGACAACATCAAGACATATAGTAATTAAAATGGCAAAGATCAAGGCTAAAGACAGACTTTTAAAAGAATCTAGAGAGAGAAAAAAATAACATACAAAGGAAAACCCATCAGGCTATCATCAGACTTCTCCACAGAAACCTTACAGGCGAGAAGGGAGTGGCATGATATATTTAATGCAATGAAGCAAAAGGGCCTTGAACCAAGAATACTCTACCCAGCAAGGTTATCACTTAAATTTGAAGGAGGGATT